ATACACATACATATACACATGCACATACACATATACATCTATATACATATACATATACAGATATGATATGACACACATGCATGCAAACATACATATATACATACACACATGCAGACATGCAGACGTACAGACGTACAGACTTACATACATACATACTTACATACTTACATACTTACACACCACACACACATACATACATACATACATACATACATACATACATACATACTCATACAGACATACATGCAGAATAATATATGTATATACATACACACACACACACATAGACACACAGACACACACAGACACACATACATGCATTCATACATACATACATACATACATACATACATACATATGTTGACATGCGTTGGCATACACATGTTGACATACATACGTACGTACATACATACATACATACAGACAGACAGACAGACAGACATACGTACATACATACATAGATGCACACATACATACATACATACATACATACATACATACTTACATACTTACATACATACACACATACATAGACTCGTACATACAGATGTAGAGGTGTACGTGCATGAAAGTGCGCATGGACACCTGAAAGGTACTCCCGCTAAATTTCGAGCATGGCTAGTGCGACTATCAGTGGCCACTGCCGACAGCATCGCCACCTCGAAAATCGTTTCTTATTCCAGATATTTCGTACATCACCACCACAGCAGCTAGAAGTGCGTGAAGAGCCCTTCAGACCTTAAAGACCAACCACGTGCTGCAGTTTCGGTTCAGTTTTCCTATTCTGGAAGTTCCCGGGATTGCAAATCTATTCCCGAAATGTGAGAGCTGCCAATGGCCAAATTTGATTGTCCAAATCCCGTAACCATTGACATCATCAGCCTAATTTCGCTGAGTCACGACTTCTTGGATGTTTACCACAGTCTTCCGCCTCGCCTTGTGGCCCTGGAGGAGTGGAAGCTACGCGATGCCAAGGCACATCCGGCAGTTTGAACGCGAATCCTGAAACCAGATCGTAGCTGCAGCTTCCACACTTGGAGGTCGCAGGTTTATGGTCATCTTGGGCCACATGTCACGACGCTAGCGATAGACGGGTGAGCGCTTCTGCCCTTGGCTTTCTTCGTGCTGGAACGGTTTCGAGTTGTTGGTTTCCGTTCCGGGTTCGTATGCCCTACACGTAGTCTCGCATGATGCATTTCACCGACAGGCAGTGGTCGGCCACAACCTGTCGCTCATTGCCCTGGAACTAGAGATCATGGGCGGAAATGCCTTCGCGCAGGTCGGGAATTTCTGGTGTTTGGAATCATTGCGGCAGGCGTGGAATCCGGAATCAACCCGCACCCTGTTTTATCCGGGACCCAGCTACATGTAGATGGACAACCCCCTTGCAGACTCGGCAGGTGGCAGCACATTCCCGACTTTACGAATTCCCCAAAGTTTTGGACTCGGAAAATAATGGACCCTTAATGTAGACAGTGGGCGAAAGAAGATGATGCTGCACATATCCATCATGTTTGTGGGGCAAAGAAATCAATAAATTCAAGAACCCCCGCCGTGTCCGCTGTGTACAAAACCCTGATGCAACTATCAGGCCCTCAGAAAGCCTCGTGAGCCCTCAAGAAAAGTATGGTGTCCTATTCCCCAAGCCGCCTATGCCCGCTGACCCCCACAAACGCTGAAGCCTGTCTTAGGAGGGTCTTTCTCTAGGCCTCTAGGCGTCTGTTGTGACGTGTTCTCCCCCTACATCTGCTTCGCATAGTGTCATTTAGCCGACTCGAGACCACATGCCTCGCCTGGATTGTCCGAGTGTGAGCGCCGAAACGCTCCAAAACACAAATCCTAAGATCTAAGACCTAAGACAATCCAACCTGAACCCTCAACCCTTAAGCCCTAACGGCCCTAGCCCCTATAAACCTTCACCCAGGAGTATGGAACCTAAGCCTCCTCGGGGCAGTTTGCACCCGTTAGTTTGCTTCAGTGATACCTGCTGACTTCCCTAAGGGAGTGATTTGGCCAATGTGCTTGTCGAAGTCGGTACCTCGACAGGCTTGTGCCAGTTGTGAGTGCCGAGACTCCATACTGTAACAGTCTGCAAACCCAGTACGGTGCCCTGAGCCATGCGAGACGCAAAAGGGGACGTTTACAAAGAACAAAAGCACCCTATGAGCATCTATGAGTCCAAAATCCCAGAGTATGGTGCCCTATGCCCTATGCCCTAGACCTTATAGACATCTCTGAACCCAAATCCCGGAGTATGGAGGCCGAAACCCAGACATGATTAAACTCTGAATCCAGTAGTATGGAACCCTAGACAGCGTGAGAGTCGAAGCCCTGAGCGAAAAAGAGCCAAAAAACAACTATAAATGTCCAGGATAAACTTATATAAATCCAGTTTTAATGTCTAGAATAGCCTTAAATCCAGTATACATGTCTAGAAGAGCCTTAAATCCAGGAGTATGGTGCCCTACCAGCCCAAGAGCTTCTTCAGCGGCAGCTCCGTCCAAGAATGCGAAACTGGGCGACCTGCCCTGCGCTGAATGGGTCCGTTGGGAATTTGGTAGGGCTTCGGGTTTGGGTGGTTTGGGGTTTGAGGGTTTACAATGGTCTAGGGATTGGGACGTTTTGGGGTTCGTTTCTTCAGGTTTTGGATTTGGGACTTGTGGTTTACTATTTGAACTGAGCTAGGGCCAACCCGGGCTTAGAGTGAGGTTCGGGTTGGCACAGGGTGTTTTCCGGTTCTGCGTTTGCTGGGCCGTGTCCTCCAAGAGCGGAGCTTCAGCAGCTTGGTTTCTTCGGCTTTCGACTGGACCATTCTGGTGTCATGTCCCTGCTTGCAAGTATAGGTAGAAAAGTCGTAAGAGCAAAGTCCCTGAAGCTATTGACAGGTTGTTTCTGCTAATTAGCAGTGCCTTATTACAGCTAGGGGGTTGTGGATGGCGGTCAGAAGTTGGGCTTTCAATGAGCGCATCTCCAGACTTCCAGCGGCAGCCCAGGTTTTCGTGACGGCTATCCGCGATCCATGGTCAAGATTCTGGAGCCAGCTCAGGCCTGTCCACGACCCGTTTCGAACCATCTGAAGCTTCGGGCATAGGGCCTTAGCCCGGATTTCATACGTACAAGTTCCTGTGGAGCACCTCGACACAGCTTTATAGCAGCTCCCATGCAAAGGAGTACGCACCCCCTGAAGGTATGAGCTCGCACCCTGCATTGCCACAACGCAGGAACTTGCAGTCTGCATGGCTGGCAACCATCATCTCCTAGGTCGGCCTGAGACAGCGCAGTCTTCATGACATGGTCCGCGTGATATCTCGAAGAAGCCCGAGACCGGAGTATGTCACGGGACTAGTGGCCTCTAGCAGAGCAAAGACTTCTGAGGGCCTGACACACTGGTCAGTCTTGCAGGGTGTTTTATGCCTGTACGTACATACGTATGTAAATAAGTAAATAAATATAAATAAATAAATAAATAAATATATATATAGAGATACAAAAGTACATATATATATATATGTGTGTGTGTGTACAGATGTGTATTTGTGTATGTATGTGCGTATGTCTGTCTGTCTGTCTGTCTGTCTGTATGTATGTATGTATGTATGTATGTACACAATGTAAGTACGAAATGCATGCATGCATGCATGTATGTCTGTATGTCAACATGTGAATTCAATGTAATGTAATGTAATGGAACAGCGTAATGTAATTTAATGTAATGAAATGTAATGGTATGTTGGTATGTTGCTAGGTTGGTATGTCTGTCTGGCTGTCTGTCTGTCTGTTTGTCTGTCTGTCTGTCTGTCTGTCTGTATGTATGGATGTATGTATGTATGCGTGCATGCATGCGTGTATGTGTGTATGCAAGTATAAATGTATATATTTCTATATATATATATAGATAGACAGATATATCTACTTACTTGTTATTCAATTGTGTCCTATGTTACAATGTTTTGTTGACATGTATGTAGGTGTTCGATACATGCATACATACATGCATGCATGCATGCATACCTTACATATACCCACATGCCTATGTACATACGTACATAATACTACGCATGTAGAATTACACACACACACACATCCACGTACATATATATATATATGCACCCTGAAGGCTGGTGGTGGTCTCCTACCGCACACATCGACAGTGTCCTTGGGGTGCCAGGTTTTCGGCTTTCCGAAAGCCCGCATGTCTACTCGGAGAACTACTACACGCGAGTTCTGCTAAATCGCACAGACATGGAGGGCCCGAAGCTGACGAAGGGTGACTACCAATTAGCCAAGTCGCTGCTTTTCGACCGCATGTCCACAGTCATCATCACTGAGGACTTTGCAAGAAGTGCCTTGCAGCTTGCCTGCACGCTAGGCCTCGACTTGGAGACAGCTCAGCCGCTGCTGCGGACGCGAGTGAGACCGTACGAGCTGCACCAAGCTATGCTGGACATTCCAACAGAGTCTGAGCTGGGACCCAGTGATGTTGAAGCTTTGAGGCAGAGATTCGCGAAGAAAAACAGCTTCGACTACAGCCTCTACTCCCACGCCAAGCGTCTGTCCAATGCGCGCTTGGCAAAGTGCGCCCGCAGAAACAGCCGGGTGGCTGAGCTAAGGAACGCACCAATCCAGGAAGAGCCATCATTTCCGCCCCCTCCCACCGAACACCCCCAGCTTTCTGTAGACGACCTATTCGGATGCATCAATGGTAGCGTGGTTGAGACAGCGGATGGACAATACATGCTACATTGTCCCAGAAGTGTCCAGCAGAGAAGGGATTCTTGGTGGTCGGAAATTGGCTCACCGAAGCGGCAATTGGGGCAAAGACTACCGGGTGATCACTGCTGGAAGCAAGGCTTTACCTATGAAACTTGCTGTGATATCCTTGCTTTTGGGCCAGGGGGGAATCCCAGTTGCTGGGACCAGGCCCACAACTTCACAACATGCTGCGAAGAAGCACTGGCGATGGCGGAGAGTCAAACAAAAGCGGTGCTTGTGCGATTCTTCATGTGAAGACCAAGAAACAGCAAACGGCAATAAACGGCAACTGCATTTTCCATCGACCACCACCACCACCACCCACCACCACCACCACCACCACCACCACCACCACTTCGACTACTAGAATAACAAGAACAATTGCTACTGCCACGGCGATGTCTGCCAGAGTCTACCACTACCCCGATTTATTTCATTACTTCCCTTTATTTCAATGTGCACCCTAGTCATGTCAGGCCCGCATCCGCCCAGTACGTTGCAAAATTTGGGGAACCCAGATCGCAGGGTTGCAGGAACATGGGACTGCAGGGCGAGGAGGGCAACGGAGGACTGCCACGACTACGACAATGTGTGAACATGAAGGGTCCGGGAAGAACCGCCCGTGCCACCATGCCACCAACAAACACAGTCGCCTCTCTCGTTGCAATCTGTAATTATACGCATGCGTTCTGACTGAGCAGGGGTCGTGCACTAAACATGGGGCAGCGATTTGTGTACCCCTCCGCAGACTACCAGGCTGGCAGCAATATGGCAACTTGGCACTCAGAATGTCCACAGCACCATGTTTACCATGTTTTGACTACATCACCGGCATCACCTTCGCTGTCATATCATTAGTCATTAGATGGCGATCGTGCAATCGATCATCCGGACTCCGACGGTAATTGCCCGTAGCAACGGCAAGCCGGGGGTCGTGACATGACAACTCACCTGCTCACCGGACCCGCAAGAAGCTCCTAAGTATCCATGAGCCCATATCTAGCTGTGACAATCCTGGAGTGTATTGACACCAATGACGAGCAACGTAGAATGTTGCTTGGGTCTCCTTTCGCACGGGGCGCGATTGCTGGCAAGGTAGTGCCGCCATTATAGGACCTTTGGGTTTAAACATGTTTCAACTTGGTACACTGCCACTGAACCCTGCAAGCCCTCAATTTCCAGGAGGCATTGGTTCCTCGCTGGCAGCTTTCTGCGCCGAGCCTGCCACAGAGGCTGTTTCAATTCTGATTTCGGAAGCTACTCTGAGAAGACCTTAAAAAGCAAGGGTCCTAGACCCACCGCGTTGGAAGAAGTACAGCGGATGCTGCGATGCTCCTGCTCCTCCGGCTTCAAAAGGATAGGCCGACAAGCTTTGAACTGTGACCTAAACCCCTATGAGTAGTACTGTAGTAATTATCTCCCCTAGCCGTCCCAGCCTGGAGCCGAACAATTTGGCCTGGAGTTCTGAGTTCTGAGTGCGAGAGTCCAAATCCTAAGCCACAAAAAACTAACCCCCAAAACCTCCGAAACAACAAAAAAAACAACGCCTCGTTGTTTAAAAGCCTATGAAAACCAAAAAAGAAAAAGCAAAGCCTCCCTAAACCCCTGAGCCATCCTAAGCCCCTACTCTCTAAAAATGTCAGACCTCATCACTTCGTCCCGCTGGGCGCTGTGCGCGGGTCCGGTTCGCCCGGAATTGTGGTGGTCGAAGTGCAGCTTCCTCAGAGGTCAAGCAAGCTCGGGTGACATTACCAGTTGTTATGGCAACTCTAGCGCTACTATGTACTGTTGTCAATTACAATTGCCTACGTTATTTTTTGGTCTTAAGTTGTCCTATGCCTGTGAATAAAATGCGGTTGCCATTGTGAGTATTTGCTTGTGTTCGCTGGCCTTGCCGCTAACATGCAAGTTGTGACTCGCAGAACGAAGAAGCGCAGATGCAGGCGTTCATGTTGTCCTGGTTCTGTTGATCGAGAACCAAGGCATGTGGAAGACATGCGCGGCACTGGTGGGCAGGAGGCCGACATCGTGGTATCATCGCCGGCAGACCGGCGGGGCAACTGGCTGTCCAAGACGTGGCTCGCAGAAGTGTGTGCAGCAAGCATAGAAGCCATCTGTTGGTAGTACCCTGTAAACTCTAACACTGCGTGGAGCTGATTAAGCTGGCTTTCTTAAGCCTTGAAGGACGAGACACCCCAGCGAAGATGATGCTTGCAAAGCGAGTTCGAGGCCTGCGGAGTGGTGTTTCAGGAATGTTGCCACGGTATTTTGGTTGCAATATCATTCAAGTAGTTCTCTACGGGCTTAGGATGGAATCAGGCTTCTATAAGGCTAACATGAGGGCTTCGAAGGGTTTCCAGTACTAGTCCAGTGTGCTTTAGTATTTCGGTTTCGTGCATGTGCAAACCCTCAACCTTCGCTAATCCTGCCACGGAAGTGTGGTATGAGACCAGAGCCGTCGTCGTGCGCCTGACTGGCTGTGCGACGGAGAGAGTCGACACCCCCAAACTTAAGCCTCAAAGCTTTGACCCTGTCAGCACCAAGCCTTGCCTTATGACCTTTGGAGGCCAGCTTCACCGACCGTCCTTCCTGCGGCCAAAGCGATGCTGCGGAAAGACGAAAAGGATTTGAAGTCGTGCAGTGGGGTAGAGAAGACTATCCCTAAACCCTCCAGCTCTTGCGGACTTGGGAGTATGGCAAGAGGGGGCCTTCTGGCGACCCAGCAGTACAGCGCTTCATTTTTCCCGGGTTGAATTCTGTAGATTCGTGACGAATATCCGAATATCGTATAACCGAGCTGCATATCGGAAATTGCTCGGGATTGCTGCGCAGGTTGTATCAATTATCTGAGGTCGCGGCCCAGGTTGCGGGTTTCTGGTTTACATGCTGCGGGAATCCGAAAGCAACTGAGCAGAGACTCATTGAGGGGATTTGAACGCAATGCAGGGGGTTTCTCTTCAGCTGACAGGGGATGATGAAGCACATCCGCCCCTCTGTGAAGAGCCCATGCCAGTCCACCCACAGAACTCGCAACCCAAAGTATAGCACAGACATGCAGAGAGAAAAGCACATGCAGGGAGCCTTGAAGATCGGCAGCAGCTCCTACGGAGGGCGCTTCTGTCGACTCCTTAGAGAAGTCAGCGTATGGTCTGGGCTCCGATCAGGATTGCTAGCTGCAAAAGCTGCTGCTGTAAAAGAAGGTGCTCCACCAGCAACTGACTGTAACTCGGTGCAGGGTGCTGGTGCTGCAAGAGTTTGTTCCAAATCATCGCAACAGTTGATGTGACACAGCGCGCAACGTCTCAACTTTGCCATGTGGTTTGCACCGGAGCGAGCCTTTCAACGCCAAGTGCCCGCAGGTCCAAGAAGATTTATGGCGCCTGGCGGCGAGCTCCGGGCGACCTGCTGCCAGGGCCCAGTGGAGTTCAACGGTCTCCCTCCGTTTTCGAAGTTGGGATCTTCATTCCTCGAACGCTGTCAGAGCATGCCAGAGCACAGAGTAGCTGCCGAGTGACAAGGCTTCGCCTCAACTTCGCGGCCAAGGGCCTCATCAGCACTCAGGATCCTCGCAGCAGTTTTTTGACATACCTGCGGCATGGGCGGAGCTCAGCGGTCAACTTTGGGCGACTTAATCTGGCAGGAGGCTCCGGCAGAAGAGGTCTACGCTGCAATGAAGCACTATGCTGGAAGGCAGAGCTTCTGACCGGTATGAAGCCAGACTGGAAGATTGCAGATAGATGCAGATAGTATCGCAACGGTGAAGAGCTGTTTTATTCGTCAGACGTTCCTCAGAACGCAGGTTGTGCTTGCCCAGCTGGAGGTCTGCTGCTCAAAGAGAGGCTTTTCAACACTTGCAGCGGGATATGTTGAAGACTTGTAGACGATGTTTGTAGATCCTGGCAGACTTCTTCAGTCTTCAAGTTTTGATTCTCCTATGCATGCCCGAGGTCCTACAATGGCTACGTTGCTTCAATCCAGGACAACGTGAACCGGAAAGGGTGGCAATGGGCAGAGCTGACAGACAAAAAGGGGGGCTCCAGGGCTTCTTTTGCTCTCGTTGCTGTTCTCGACTCTCGACGGCTAGAGGGCAGCTGGGACTGTTACTTGAGGCCGCAGCTGATGAGAACAAATCCACCTCGATGCTTCGATGTAGTCTTCTTGCATTTTAGCTCATGGGCTTGGGATGTCTCCGATAGCTCCCTTGGGAGGGCACTCAGGTCTCTTGCCCAGGCACCTGACATTTTGTGCCGGGCGACAAACCACTTCGGCCACAGCCCCTGGAGACCTCAGGTGCCCTTGAGCGCTTCCCGCGTAGCGGCACCATGGTCCGAGCCTCAGAGGGGGGCCCGGGATCTTGGGTTCAGGGAGAGGCCTGCGGAATTTGAAGGGGGTTTGGGGGTACATGGCACTTTTGTTTGCAGGGGCTACAAGGTGACAAGAGATTTTCTGACACCGAAACAATAGGTTGTTCAGTTAAGATCAGGCGCTCAGACATCCAGGCGATTGCACAAGTCCTGATGCGAAAAGGGTAAGATGATGCCCTAGCCACCGGCTATGTGGTGATGACAGAGGGAGTGTGCACTCGGCATGCTGCATGCTTGTTGCGAAGCAGCGCAGAGACCTCACAGTGCCGACCTCTTCATGCAGGCATAAACCCAGACTTGTTCTCTTGAGGCGGCGCCTCACTGGGGACCAGTTCCGGCAGAGTGTGAGCTCAAAGGGGCTGCCCTTCAGCTGCGAAGACTGACTAATGGATTATGATTGATAAATTACTCTCATTGCTTCTTCAGCTGCTGTTCCCAGCAGCAGCAGCAGCAGCACTAACAGCAGCAGCAGCACTAACAGCAGCAGCAGCACCAGCACCAGCACCAGCACCAGCACCAGCACCAGCACCAGCACCAGCACCAGCACCAGCACCAGCAGCCCGCACCAGCGACCCCCACCACCACCGCCACCGCCGCCGCCGCCCCCACCACCACCACCCACCACCACC